GACACGTACTAAGTTAGAAAACAGATTAATAATCAATCCTCTTCTACTCGGTGGCTCCAGCAATATGCAAACTCCATTTATCACATTTGGTAAAAACAAATACGTATAGTAATTCATTTTATTACCTAAAAGCCATCTGTAAGTCGAAATTTCGTAGGAAATAAACACAAATATCACTTCAGATATAAATATTTCGAAAAATTTATTATAGTTGCAAAGAATTTTGCGGTGGCTACAAAACCGTGCTGTGTGGACAATAATAGCAATATTTTAATATCAAAAGCTGATTTACATACAGTTGAAAAATGAAAAAATGTTCTTACAATCAGTTGAATTAAACATAACTATTAGGGTATTTTTAGGGTTCCGTACCTCATAGCAAAAAAAACCAACCCTTATAGGATCACTTTGTTGTTTGTCCGTCTGTCTGTTAAGTACCTTTTTATATAATTTCATAAATAAAATTCAATATAATCGACTCCATTCACGTTTTGTTCCATTACAATATATTACGTATTTAAGTAGGAAATATGTAAACACTTACCTTACCTAAATAAACAACCAAACGAACAACAACTGCCTGAGATCAATCCGCCCAGAATTGTTGATCTTATATAATATTCACCCATTTGTATTAACTCTTTCCTCTTCAATACTTTTCTACCACGCATCACATTTTGTACCTTCAAAATGAACAAATTACTATCAAGTTAAACATTGTCTAGTAGTTTACATAAGAATAGCTAATAATATAACTTAACCAATCATCATCATCAGCTCACTATACGTCCCCACCGAGGGGCTCGGAGTCTACCCTAAGTTAGGGGTGATTAGGCCATAGTCAACCACGCTGGCCAAGTGCGGGTTAGTTGACTGCACACATATCTTTGAATTTCTTCACAGATAAGTGCAGCTTGCATCACGATATTGTCATCCTAGGGTCGGCCCCTACGTGACGGATGAAATATTTGTCTCCACAAAAATCTGTCTTTGGGCGGCCTAAATAAAAGTACTGTTGCAACCTTTATATATAATAATAATATTTATTTTATAATTACTTACCAGATGTATGAGCAAATAAAATTTAGCGCTGCCCAAAAATGAATGTTTATACGCCGGTAGTGTTGATATGAAGCAACTCGAATGCCACGGATGCAATAATAATTGACAGCTTACATCTTTACATTTCTCGTCGAAAAGATGCTTACTTACTTCCACCATAGTGAAACACTTAGCACCTGCAATAAAGGGAAACATAAATAATTACACTTTTTTATAAGAGTAAGGGGCAAAGGAGCATCGTGAACACCGAGGTGTTCATCGGCGCCCATGGACATCTGCAATACCAGAGGAACCGTAGATGCGTTGCCGGCATTTGAGATGGTGATACGCACGCTTCTTGAAGAACACAGCGTTTGTTTTGAAATGTGGAATAGAAGAGTACTTTAGTAATTGGAATTTGATTTGGGTCTAGGGGCTAGGCCATAGTCAACTACGCTTGTCTAATGCGAGTTGATTTCACACATATCTTTGAATTTCTTCGCAGTTATGTGCAGTTTGCATGACGATGTTATCCTCCATCGTAAGAACGTCGGATAAATGTAAATCGAAAACCACATTGGTACTTGGCGGGATTCTAACCTAGAACCTGCAACTTATAAATCAAGTGCTTAACCTTTGAGCCACCGACGCGTTTAGTATGTCAAGTCGCAAAGACAAGTTACTACATTTTATGTTTAGTTTACACTATGCCAGTACAGGACAGTAGCGCCTAAAATTAACATAGGCTAACTGGCGCCAAAAAGCCAAAACAGTCCATTCCAGAACAGCGCTACTGTCCTACTATACTGGCATTATGTAAGCCGGGCGTTTAAGATAGTAAAAGTATAACCTAAAAACATTTTACCGTAAATAACTTCAAAAATTCATGTTATAGTAATGCAAATAACAATAAAATATTATTAAATAATTTACGAAAATAATGACATTCATTTTTCTTAAATATGAATACTTTAACAATATTTTAATAAATGTCACAGAATGACAATATCATTGTCTATTGTCTATTGATTTTAAGCACAGATGTTTTTTGGCTACAATTCATAAACAATTATAGTTTTCGATGTGTAAGAAATCTATAGACAATTTTTCATCATTTATATTCTATGTTTAAATATAGTTCGGTCAATAACAAGAAAAATAGAAAAGAAAATAGTCAAAATTAAAATGAAATGCATTTGCGACGTGCATTTGAATATTTCAATTTCCATAAAAAAAAGCAAAAACATGGATCCTGATTGAAATGCTATAACGAAAATAAATACATTATATGTAATTAACAATATTGCAAATATTTATCTATAAATAAATAAATTAATACAAAGTTTTTATGTTTAAATAGTTAAAAAGTTTAATTTTTCACAACCATGATATCAACATCATCATAATTGAGTGGTTATAGTTACCTTTAAATATGACTTCAATATAACCATCGTTAAACCGTAGAATTAACCGCCGTCAAGGCGCTGGTTATAGTTATAGTTGATGCAACTCACTCTTATAATATGAGAGTATATATTAGTCGTAATGCAACGATATGCAATGTTTATCAGACACAGCTGACCGTAGCAAAAACTTCTCGGTAGATTAATAATATCAAAAGGCAATAAAGTATTGTAATAGAGCGAGAACAATGTACCTGATTCACTTCACCAGTTACAATGTCATGTGCAAATGTACAATGTATATAAAAACATTATGAAACCTTTAATTAAATATTCACAAGAACACATTGAACGTAAAGTATTAATATTATTACACTACTAGCTGTCGCCTGCGACTCGGTCGCGCTTATTTAATAAAACTAAATACCTATGTGTTCTTCCAGACTATGTTCTACATCTATGCCAAATTTTAGCAAGATCTGTTGAGACGTTCTGGTAATAACTTCAAACATCCATCTACCCAAACATTTGCATTTATAATATTAGTTAAGCTAAGGGCTACATATTTAACATATTACAATCTAACTAAATAAGCGAGAATTGGATAAGCAAGAAATCTGTATAACATGATCCCAGCTACCTCCATAAGCGAGAAATTCGGGTTAAAGTTAAAACTCTGTAAGCGAGAAAAACGCGCGGTCATTTAGACTCTCGCTTATCCAGTTTCGATTATTTATTTAAAGTAAACTTTTGTTTCCTATTTGATGTTATTTCGACCTATCGATCTGATGATAATTTGGTAATGAAATTGTTCAATATACGTACATACTAATACAATTAGTGTGTCTCTATGTTATGTAGAGAAACATGATTCGTACTTATAATGTATTTGTGTAGCTGATAATGAAAAACCAATTATTAAAAATTTTGTCTGTCTGTCACCGCCGCGTTAGTTCCGGTTAATCTCCGGAACGGTTGGACTGATTTTGACGGGACTTGGACGGGAAGATAGCTAATGCATAGGGGCATATGTAGGCTACTTTTCTGCGTTGACGAAGTCGCGGGTGATCGCTAGTATGTAATAATTGTCGAAATGGTTGTGATTGGTGTAGTTACGTAACAATGACCATTTCAGCTAAACAGCCCACGCTAATAGCTACAATCAGCTGTATCTATGTCATTGGCAATTTCAATTAGGCTAAGAGCCCGTGCGAGCGCACGTGCGCTCTATTTCTTGAGTGTCAATCGTTTATTTGATCCAATCAAAGATATAGTGTTCCTTTGACATCACTTCGACGTAAGGTGTACACGTATTGATTTTGGACCAAACTATTTCATCAATTGAAAGCTCCTTTGACGATGGCGAAACTTACTATATTGAATATATTATAAAGACTGTACGTTATTGCAGTTAATATGTTTTGGAGAAATCACATAAAATCATACTAATATTATAAATGCGAATGTTTGGATGGATGGATGGGAGGATGATTGGATGTTTGTTTGTTTGAAGGTATCTTCGGAATGACTGAACGGATCTTGATGAAATTTGGCATACATATAGAGCATAGTCTGAAAAAACATATAGGCTACTGTGTTTTCTTAACACCGCGCGAACGGAGTCGCGGGCGACAGCTAGTTCGGCATATATCAATGATCGTTTTGTTTGATCGAAAAATATTTTGTTTCTAGCTTCTGTCGCTTGCGACTTGTGTTCTTTCAGACTTTGTTCTACATATGTGCCAAATTGCAGCGAAATCCATACAGCCGTTTTGGAGATACCTTCAAACAAACATCCATCCTTCTTAGTAAGATATAAGTAAGACTTTACAGAAAGTGATATATTTTTTGCATTGTATTAAAATAAATTTTAAAAACATCGGTTAACAAAATTAAAAAAAAATAAAGAATAACTGATCGTTGCCTTTTGCCCTCGGAATACGTTCGCGTAATGAACATTATCGGAACGCACTATAACTTGTAATTCGGTCAACAGTACCAAATACGTTTTGTAACAGGTTTGCAAGGTCGATGCGAACCCGGTTATGGCTTGCACATCAATGATTTCCGATTTACAACCGAAAACAATATTCCATAAACATTTTAGTTTATCAGCATAATTTTAATTAATTTGGTTTAATTATTAACGATTTACCGTTGGTTTCTGAGACGAAAATCTCTATATAAAATATATAGTCAACCCTGTCATTAACTTTGATAAGCAAGAGATAACATGTTTTAAACGGGGATTTTGGTCCTGGAAATCCTCGATTAGAGATCAAATGTACGGACCACTTCTAGACTATACATATCTTCGTTTGTCGCAAGCAAATAGCTTTAGATAAGAGATAATCCGTGGACTTTAATTATAGCACAATAACAAGCATATAAAACACGTTCAACATACATTTTGTAACATAGTAAAGTAGATTTTATTCACATATTCCAAAAATATTACAAACTAGCTGTCATCCGCGACTACGTCTACTCGGAAAATAATAAAAAAAAAACTTAATTAGTAGCCTATGTGTTCTTCCAGACTATGTTCTATATGTATGCCAAATTTCATCGAGATCATTTCAGTCGTTCTAAAGATACCTTAATAGAAACATCTATACATCCATCCATCTAAACATTCACATTTATAATATTAGTAAGACAGTAACAGGTCAGATGTTACACGAATTATTTCAAAAATCTTGTACGATTCAAATTTAAATTAATCTTGAAGATGATTTCTTATGTAAGTCGTGTAAATACTGAATTCGAACCAACGACCTTAAGTAGGAAGGTCTGTACTAACCATTATGTATCATAAGTAAATTGTAACCGATCATAAAATCGTGCAGATTTTTGCAACAAAGTTGAAATAATTATTTTGAACACAAATCAAATGAGACAAGAAACTTGAAGCTATTAAACAGTAATCATAAAATTAAAATCATCACGTCAATAAAAAGCTATATAATAATTAAAAAATAAAAAAAAATCGACAGATCGAATGAAGATGAGCTATAGTTGAGAAATTTTAATTTAATTTAACCATTTATACTACTAGTCGATATCCTAACGTGCCACAGATAAAAAAACCTTCATACATTTGCAGATATGTTATCACTGCACCGGGGAAGTACCTCGTGTACTAAAAGGTGCATATACCTTTTACACTTCTTAAAATTCTTTAAAATAAAGCAATCAATAGCAATCTATAAATATAATGATTATATCAGGTGATAAATGCTTTTAAAATTAGCAACGCTATCGATTAATCGTACATAATTTTTTTTTATTTTGTCTATTTTTATATTCGGACATAAGTGTCGAAAATGTCTCAATGTTTTTCTCTTCCCTTCTTTACTAATAAGAAAAGGATGTACAGGGGTAGGATAATTGACGGGGAAGAGAATTAATAGGAACGGTAATAATCTTATTTAGTTTATCCGCTCCTTTATTTGATAAGTAACACATCGTGTTATTTATGTGGAAAGATGAAAGGCATTTAAACATTAAAACTTAATTAGTAGTCTATGTGTTCTTCCAGACTATGTTCTACATCTGTGTCAAATTTCAGCGAGATCCATACAGCCGTTCTGGAGATACCTTCTAATTAAAATCCATCCATCCAAATATTCCAGAGGGAGATAATATTAGTAAGATAAAATAATATAGAAATATGACTTACAATATTTGTCCTAGAAGTGCATTCAATTTCTAAAATCATTAAGTTTTCCACAATTTAAATTTAGAACACAGGAATACTGGCCATCATTTAATAAGAATGAATAAAACACTGTCTTATAATAACTTCCAAAAAAGAAAATAAAATATGACAAAAGACACGCGCGTGGTCGTCGAATGCAAGTCTTGCTTTGTTTAGTTACAAAGAGATCCAATATGTAACAACGTAATGGAGCTGTGTGTGAGTGAATCACTGATACTGTATCGAAATTAATAACTCAATGATAACATATCTAGGTACTAAAGTCTACATGTGCTAAGGATTGGAATTTTAGCGCCTTGCAATTGAAATAATTTGGATGACAGGAGCTATGACAGAACATAACGTAAAATGTTTATTGTACACTTATTCAAGCTTATTAAAGTCTTGTCTCCTTTTTTTATATAACAGAAATACCTACTCATTAAATTCTGATTTTTTTAGTTTAATATTGTTTGTAATTTACACTATTTTCATACTCTTTTGTTCTGTTTTTTATTGTTTATGCACCAATACTTTATACATGTTGTGTTTGTCTGTAAGTGAAATTATATGTTTCCTGAAACCTTTTGTAATAGTCTTAAAATGTATATAAGAACACATGTACTTTTGTTGACGAACCAAATAAATAAATAAATAAAGAAGCAAACGAGCAGCGGGAACACCGAGGTATTCAACGACGACGGTGTTTTCCTTGTGTAAGTTACCTTTTACTTAATAAGTTACATTCCTTCTTATTAAGTATACAAGTTTTGTTGGGTTTCACGGTTTGTGTCTTAACAATCACGCCCCGTAAAAACACTGTTTTAGAGTGTAAAATTTCAATAATTATATTGCGATGTACTTTCTGTACAAAATATTTCATCTTACTAATATTATAAATGTTTATATTAAAGATAGATTGATGAATGTTTGTTAGAAGGTATCTCCAGAACGGCTTAACGGATCTCGATGAAATTTGGCATACATGTAGAACATATTTTGGTAGAATCCATAGGCAACTATTTTTTTTTAAAATAGCATTAGTAGTCGTGGGTTAAAGCTAGCTTTTAATATCGTTGTTATCAATGTCAATGTGTGAAGCTAAGAAGAGATGGATGGATTGCTTGCACGTGATATGATTATAAAATAATTGGCAATTAAATGGCCAGGTATTAGATCGAAAAACCATAAATTATAGAGATATATGACGATAAATAAATCTTTTTAAATGTTTTTTTTTTGGCTCAAAGTGTACACAGTATGCCTGTTTTGTATTCAGTGTGGTAAACATTATACGTCTATTATTTCCTTTTACAAACAAGCGGCCCATTTGTTTGTCCCCATTTTTTACTTTGTTTATTTCGAAACATTGTTGTGGATTGTTGAAACGCTTTACGAATGCCAAATTTAAAGCAACGCTTTCGCTTAAAGCGTCACCGATTCAGCCAACTGTAAGCTTATACATTGCAAATACTACTGAAGTTGTGTTTTTATACTAAAATAATGAAAAAGTACATATAAAATTTACTTTTTCATTATTTTAGTGGCCCTAGACAGTGCATTCGGTCCGAAATGATTCGATAACAATTACTAAAATGTATAGAGGGGTTAAACAAAGTACGTTTACTGAGATTATTGGATAACGAAGTTCAATAATGTAAACAACTGACTTTCGATAAGTCACGTGATTGTTACGTGTTAATTATATATATTTTTGAAATACAAGGATAAGTCATGGTCAAAGATTACTTGCGTAAAATTGACATGATTTTCGGTAATATAGTATGTCTTATTTAATATGCATTTAAATGCAAAAACTTCAAATATATTTTCATATTATTTAGTGATTTATATACACAAGACTGTAGTGAAACAATGTTAAACGATAAAATGATAGTTACATCTCATAATGTTACTTTTGCTATTTAAATTCGGCAGGCGTTAAAAATCTTTAACTTGTCTTTTTTAAGCTTTTTATCAAGGTTTGGTGATATTTATTTAATATAAGTTGAAAAACCTTTTCAGTTTTCTTATTAGTTATGTTATTGTTGTTATGTAGTTATTACAAAAGTCTATATTCGGCAGTGACTATTTAAAATTAGTTGAGGCAGTGCGCATGTCCATAACATACAAAATACGTTCATAACATAAAATAATAAACAAAAAATAACGCTACGACCGTTTTGCAAAAATACAAAATAACAAGCCGCCAGCCAAAACTGGCAAACTTAATCCCCTACGAAGGTAATCTACCGTAAGCTCTGTTGTTTAGCCGAGTCCACTTACCAGAAATATAATTGTATTGGCTGAGGGCCAGAGTACAGTTTCATCTCGCAATGGCCACCTATATAATTTTTATTGCATCGCTTATGTCAGAATTGTTGCGAAGTAGTGGCATCAGACTCTCAAATCTGATATTGAATGCTCATTTGTTTCGTGTTTACTTCGTATTGTATAAAAGATAAGACGATTTTATATTTAATTAAACTTAGGGTAGAACATGGATAAAATCAATGTACTTTACCACTCAAAAAATGTAGACAAGACCTTACTGAACTGTTTCAAAAGTTCAAAGGTTGTCTAAGAAGATGGCTAACTTTTTAACCGGTTTTTGCCTTTTACGATCTCGCAGTGAGATAATTGCCTTCTCAATTAACCTTCAATATTTTTATCTAGCTTGTTGCAAATATTTTAGTATATCGTTTATATTGATTCATTTTATCCAAAGAGCATTTGAGGTTGATGTGGATAACTTCAATATTGAATTCCGGACACATATCGAATACCAGGTCGGTGAAGCCGACGTTTTATCTCCAGGTGTCCGGTCCTCATCCGATCATTGGGCTTCATATTTCCCATGCACTGGCTATACGAACCGATAAATACACGGGTGCTGTTAGATTATATTGGCCTGAAGCCAATTTCAATTTACACTAGAGTGTTGCATACATCTACGCGAGATATGAGTCCGCATCCAGAGAAATATCGTTATAGCTTTTTTAACTTTGATTATAATTTAAGCATACATACTTTAAAATGTTTATCATTCGTATGGGTTATTTGTGATGAAAAAAGAATGGCCCGTAACTGATCAAACAATTTTCAGGACTGAGAAGAAATTAGTGTAACGTCTCTGAAAATTATATGGTTATAAAAACTTCTTGTATCGACAACATGACCTATAAAAGGATCTTAAAACATCACTCTTGGCTATTAAAGAATGATAATGATAAACTAAAAAAGCCCGACTATTCATCAAGACTCAATAGAGAAAATTGAAAGAGCAAAAAATAAAGTCGGCTCATTTTGAAAGAGCTATCACGGGGAGAGCGGCGAGGAAGAGCAAGACATAAAAATTGTTATCATTAACATTGTCTTGTAAACGAATACCGTCTCCCGCCTGTCGTAAAAGTGAGCGTTCTTTACAATTTTGGCGAACGACGAAAGAATTATATGGATATGAACTTACGAAGACATATTTTCCTACATCCATGATTCATATTTTATATTCATAATAAATAAACGCTATTGAATAAGGATATATAAATGTACTAGATGTTGCCCATGGTTCTGCTCGAAATAAAAAAAAATTGTAGCTTATGTTTTCTTCTAGACTATGTTGTACATTTGTGCCAAATTTTAGTGAACTCTCTTAAACGATTCTGGAGATACCTTTAAACATCCATCCATATATTCAAACTTTCGCATTTATAATGCTATATAAGATGTCAATAGGAGTCGAATGATAGTCTATAATTTTAGCAACGCTTCGTAAACATATTTTAACATATGGAAGCAAGTACACAATGCGTGTATTGAACGTCTAAACTTTGATGGAGCTGTACCAAACTCATTCGTTGTTTGTCATCTCGTGCAATAAATCCTTTTTCGTAGCGTGACTAAAACAAATGTATCCATAACTGGCCGAAAATCGTAATTGAGAAATCCGAGCTTCAGTATTGAGTTCCGCGTAGTAACTATTGGAAAGTGATCCTGAATTAGAATTTAAATAATCAATTACGGATGCCAATTACATTGTTCGCGGCCCGCGGCAGCCGATATTGGATTTCGCTTTTTAATTGAACTGGATTGTCCTGGTGAATAATTAGAAACATTTGTGATGTGAATCGTATCGAATACTTGTCCCAGATATTGTTTAAACATCGTATCAAATACTGTAATTAAAATGTAATTGAAATACACGAAATACTGATACAATTAAGAGTGCGCAACAAAACATTTTGACTAAATTCGTGTGCTTTATTTTCTTTATTAGATCTGTTGTTTATTTATTTGGATTTATCTATATTTAAATCAGTTTTGTCAAAGTCGACAATCAAAATAATGTAATAGACCGATCATCATCATCATCATCGCCTCCCGGACCTTGTCCCACTTACGTTAGGGTCGGCGAATTAGTTTTCCGTCCTCCAAATCAGTCTATCTGCCGTCATATCATCGTCACTCCTTTCTTCATGTCACCTTTTACGCAATATATATCCCTCCACCGATGTCAAGAAAATTATATATATATATTAAGACAAGTAAAAAAAAATATATATTTTTAATAAATAATATTTTTTAATGACGGCGTATCCTTACAAAGTCCATTATAAATAAATGGCAAAGTCAGCAGATGAATGTTCTTTCATGATTCATTAAAAATAGACAGTCCCACTCCATGCCTTATTATTTGCAGCATTCGGGCACCAGGCTTTGTCAGGGACTAGGCCACGGTTTATGTCTTGTCAGGCAAGCCTTCATTTCCGCGATACAGCTTTTTATACTAAAGGTGCAGTTTTTCACTATCTCTGGTAAAATGGTTGAGTTATTGTGTCCCAAAGCTAAAAGGTGAGACTTAAGACACTAATTTAAGTTACTTTTTTTAATGTTTAATTTAATTTATAGTCATAGTTTTTTTTTTCTCTATGGTTCTAAAATCCTAAATCTCTTTGTTACTCCTGTTCACACCTTTTAAATAGAATGAAGTGGGACGTGTTTTGGTACACGTATATCGGCTGTGAAAACACGTTTAAAAATTGAATCAGCGAAAACAGCAAGAAATGTCAAGTATCATACAGCGACATCTAACAATAATTTAAGGTAACAACAAGACGGACATATCATATATCTACAAGAGATGGCGCTGTCAGTCTCAGTTTTTGTAGAAACTCACGTT